AACGGCTGTGGATTTCTGTTGTGCTTCGTTCAAATGACTTGGTATAGTAGCAATGTTTTGCAATAGTTTTCAGGGGGGAAATGGTTGGATTTCACTAAGTATATTGCTCCCCCCCCCAAAAAAAAAAGATAAAACCCCTATGATCATTAAATAATATTTCTGATATATCTTGTATTTCTAAAAATGTCTGCTTTCAGGGTGCATGGGGGGGGGGACCACAAGTCTTGTTTCCCCAAATCTGCTGGGGTTAGATTACAGAGTGAGTAGAATAGCTGTATGTAGGCTATGAAGAACACAGCAGGTAACAAGATAGAGAACCAGGTGAATTTAATAAAACTCTTTTGTCTCTCTCAAGGCTCTCTTAATACATTTGTATCAGGAGAATGTAATGCTTGCTTCACAAGGATATGCTGCAAAATGAATCACAATTGAAGTTTCATCTGGTATTAAAACTGTTATACTTACTGGAACAAGTATAGAACAAACAATATTAAATGAATCCTGAACCACAGTAAAATGGCAATGATTTCTACTAGGCTTGCAGGTATATTTGAAAGCAGGGGTTTGGATTAGTTTGACATACTGCAGCACATGCTTGAAAGTTAAAATTGTAAGTAGGAATGTCACATTGCTCTAAGAGAGAAATAACAGTTCTTTCCTGGGTTGTTGCTTGTGTACCTGGAGTGCACTGAATTTCCAGCTCCCAGCAAGTGTCAAAATTGCAAGCTTGAGCTTCTTGGTTAAGTTTTATCACCTTTTTCTTCCTTCTTCATCCTTTATTGGTCTATGTGAACATCGCTATTACAGCATAAGCCCTTCTAGGTAATAAAGAAAAATGAACTGTTTTATTTATTTTCGTGTTTTATTTAGAACATAAATAAATACAAAAGTTAGTGATATGTCATAAAAATGACCAGGCCATTTACTATACTGTACTGAAATGGTAACCATTGATTTCAATGAGACTTAACATCCTTCGGGTTGCTGCTTTAAGTCCAACGAATGTTGAAGTGAGGTTTTCTTCCCTTTAAACTGCCCTGTTGTATTGACATCGAAGCAGAGTTTAACATCAGTATTTAACATTTAATGAAACGAGTAAACTAATTCTGCAGTTTAACTTAACATTTGCAGTAAGATGACTTGTACCCTAATGGCTTGTAATTAATTTTTCTGAAAAATCATATTTATGATAGTCTGCAGATTCGGGCCTTTATCTAATACATAATGTTCATTTTGAGCCTTTAATTGCATTTAAATTAAAACCGGCTTAGCAGAAAGATGAATTGTGGGAATGCATCAAACCACCCAGCATGTCCTAAAGATGTGAGCCTCAAAATGCAATTTGGTAGAGATGTGCAGAATCATTTGGAGTTCATTAATTTTTATTGCACAGGTAGTTTTACTAAAGTAGGTTATTTTCTTTGAAATTTATATTTATGTTTATGTCAATAGCTGAATATTGTATTAGCCCTTACATCTATTAGAGTTTATTAAGCTGGCCTAATGGGGGTTGTACAGGCATTGGAGAGATATAATTTATCCTACAACATTAGTTCAGATTAGGAAATTGCATTCTGTATAGTGAAAGTTTATATGATAGTGTCTCTCTTTGTGTATGAAGTTGACAAGTGCCCAGTTATGTTTCAAAAAACGTTCTGTTGTAAAATAATGCAGGAACATGGTCTCTACAGCTATTTGTGCTTTATACTTCCAGAACCTTTCAGATATAAATAATTGCTCTTGCCCATGCACATTCACTGTCCTCCCCGCCCGCCAAGAAACTGATCTGGCCATCGAAACAAAATAGTGAACTATTGGAGTGTGACTTTATTGGTAGATCTATATTGCGTACTTTGTCAAGCTTGCTTTAAGGTGGTTCTTAAAATGGCAGATGCTGCTGAGAGTGTTTAATTCAATTATAATGCCAGTTTACAATAATAAAGAGAAAAGCCATTTTACACTGGTTAATGAGTACAAATTTGACCGCAATGCAAATGTTCAATAGAGTGTACAAGATGAACATTGGCCAAATTATTTATAGATAAATGGCAAATAGCTGCTGCAGTAGTCCACCAAGGCGGATAGTAGATAATAAAAAGCATAAACATCATAGTTTAAAAGGATGAAATGACAACCTTGCCCTTTCCCCCAGCTTTTAATCTTTTGAATTCTGATTGGGGAATAATCTACATGCAACCCCAGTAATAATGACAAAGGAGGGGTTTCCACTTTTGCTTTGTATAATATGACGGTCTATGGGGGAAGGGGGCGATCCTTTCAAATTATTGTCAGTTCCTACTTTGTGGTCAGAGATGATCGAAGCCCATATTCATTTAATACTCCCCAATCAGAACTTGACAGAGGTATTGGTTATTTTCTCATTTCATCACTGAAGCATGCCAGTGTAGTTTAGTCCCTAATTACTCTCAAACTGAGACGTTCCAAGTATTCCCATGGCGGTAATATTTTTCTGCCTGGCTGAGTCATTACGTTGTTTGGCAGACTCAAACACCAGCCTTTCATTGTTGGAACACTACCCCTCATGTAGCACCACATCTTTTCCCCTCTGCTGTCTGTTCCACAACTTTCATCCTGCTGTGACATTTCAAGCTGTACAGTATGAAAGCACATTTGCCTTCCTTCTCTCTGACTGGGCCAAGGACACTAGACAGGGATTTGTCTGAATAGAGCTCCTTAATGATCTAGGGGAGCAGTGGCTCTACCCTGCTGACAGGAGGGGTTTATTTGTTTGCTAGTTGCATTAAAGATCAGGGGGGTCCTTTTCAACAAAGGTTTGTAGTAGGAACGGTTTGCACTACTACACATGCCTGGTGCTTCAGTAACTTTGTACATCAGGTGTTCCCCTCGTGTTAAAAATCCCTTTCTGTTTTCATTTCATTTCCAATATCCTGCAGATGGCATAAAGATGAAAGCAATGAAATGTACAACTCACTGCTATAAAGGGGGGGGGAGAAATGTTCGTCTTTCAGATAGCAAAGACATTTCACAGTTGGAGTTTAACTCCATTTGATATAATGCAGGAAGTTAATAAAATCTCAAAGACAGAGATGCTTGCTTGTCAACATTATTATCATACCTCTTGGTTGTTTGATTTTAATGTGTGTTTGTGTTTTAGCCCTGTTGAATCTAGTTTGATTTCAATTCCTATCCATAAGCAGGGATTCGCTTTGCTGAGCAGTTGCACGCTTAATCGTGATGTTTGGCCAGTATATCAAATACAATTGTGCAAATTTTTTATTTCTAACTTATTTATAGGTTTCTAATTCTTAAAATGTATGCCTCTGTCTTGCAATAAACTGCTAGCACTAGTCTTGAGTCTGAGGTATGTTAATACCCCCCCCCCCATTAGTCTGACTGGTGATCGTGGGAGCTAAATGCATTAACTCACAGCACATAGTGTGGCTTATTTGGGGGGAAATTTTAATTTGTGGTCACCTTCTGGCAAAGCAGCTATCTCTGAGAGCTCATTCCCACCTATGTGGGAGGCATCTGGAAAAGCATGCACACGGTGGTGGCTTTGTGCTGCAACTGAAAGCTGCTTGCCACATATATCTCCTGGTAGGTGGAAAGGCTCCACACTAGCACCAGAGACTGCAAGGTCCTCATGTGAAGATTGTGGCTTTCTGACCCATGTGACAAACAGCTTGCACATAATACCTTATGAATCCATTGTCTTCCAGTGGCTTCTCAAGACAGGCCTACAGCATGGCAATTGGCCAATTATATTTTTTGCATGCCGTGGACGACAGCAGAAGCTACTCAGGTGATGTAGATGGTGGATACAGGTGTTGACACCTAATCCTAGTTTGTGGACAGGTTTTGGACTTTATTTTTTGGGGCTCCTTCAAACAATATGGATGATTTAATTCAGCTGTTCTCAGTTTGGCCTGTGGACCACCAGCTGTCAGGTCCTTTTCTGATGATCTGTGGATATGTTGCAGAATTGTTGTGATTTTTTTTTTTAAATCTAAAAATGGAGATGGAAACCATTTTGAACATAGGTAAAGTAAAGGGACCCCTGACCATTAGGTCCAGTTGTGGCCGACTCTGGGGTTGCGGCACTCATCTCGCTTTATTGGCCGAGGGAACTGGCGTACAGCTTCCGGGTCATGTGGCCAGCATGACTAAGCAGCTTCTGGCGAAACCAGAGCAGCGCACAGAAACACTGTTTACCTTCCCACCGGAGCGGTACCTATTTATCTACTTGCGCTTTGTGCTTTCAAACTGCTAGGTTGGCAGGAGCAGGGACCGAGCAACGGGAGCTCGCCCCGTCACGGGGATTCGAACTGCAGACCTTCTGATCGGCAAGCCCTCGGCTCTGTGGTTTAACCCACAGTACCACCTTATATAATAGGCAGCAGCATAGCACCAGTTGCCAGTGCCGCGCATGCGCTGGGTGGCAGGGTGCCAGTCCAGCCTTCAATGCCGCTGAAGTGACCCCATCTGCATCAGAGCAAAGCTGAGTCACCTTCCTGCCTGTGCAGGGTGGAGCCCAGTTAGCCAGTGTGGCCCTTGGTGGGTGGAGAGGAGCACTGGGCCTGGCCATGCTGGGGGCACCTGTGGGTGTGTGTGTCTGGTTTGCACCCCATCAAAACTTTTGCACTCGGGGCCCCTGACACCCCCACGCTGCTCCCCTGATAATAAGCTAATAAATCCCTGGCCTTGGCCCCATGATCTTAGTAAGACAATGCTGGTGTTAATGATGATTCTGGAACTGAAGAAATAACATGTGTTAAGTAACATGTGTTAAGACTCTAAAATTGTTCAAATGATCTGGAAGGGACAGGGAAGGCCTCACATGGTCACATATAACTGTGTTTGACTACCTTAGGGTGCGTTAGGCATAGCCTGTTGAGCACCAGGCAATACTGGGGATGTTCACCACTCTCAAAAGAAACAACTTTGCTGGAACATGTGCTTTACTTGCAGAAGATACCAAGCCCTTTCATCTTCACATAGGGCTCAGCAGTGCTTTTTTTCCATAAAAAAATATTTAAGAGTACTCTCATTTTCCTACTCATATTGAAATACCGCCCCTCATTGAGGCCAGACTTAGATTCACAAAACGTTTAGGGGTATGTGTACCCCTGTGTAACCCCAGAAAAAAATCACTGGGGCTCAGTAAGGCTCATATCTGAAATCCTGGAAAACCGCTGCCAGTTGAACAAATAATGGTAAGCCAGATAGACGAATGGTCTGACTTGGTATAAGGTAGCTTCCCATGCTACTAGCTATGGGCACACTTGATTAGATATTTAAGAATGGGTTTTAGCATTTTTCACTCAAACCAATGGGACTTAAAAGGGTTTAATTATAGCTGGCTTGCTCTTCTTCTTCTTCTTCTTCTTCTTCTTCTTCTTCTTCTTCTTTGAGCAATGCTACTCAATCACACTTAAAAGTGATTACATTGTTTGCTTGAAGGTAGTGGAAATGCATTTTGGGGAGAAACAACTTGCTCTGTACAGGTAGTTCGCATCTTACGCTTATTTAACATACACACTCGCAGCTTTACGTGCATTGCCAAAAAATAATTTTTAAAATGTTGCAGAAATGGCATGCAGTAGGGAAAAAGAATAATAAAATTGTGTGAAAATGGCACTTGTGGGGTGAAAGGGGGTCGGAAGAGCAGGAAAGAATGGCCAGCAGCCATTGTGAGAGTGTTTGGGTGTGGAAGAAGCTTTTGGAAAGGGTGATCAGAAGAGGCCAGAGAGACTTACCGAGGAGTTTCGAGAGAGGTGGTTTACCAAGCTTCAGACTGCAAAATGGCAGCCTCTGGATCAAGGTGTGAATCACTGCTTCAAGGCTGCTTACACAAAGCTCACCTTTTCCTGGATGATGAACCTGATGGATGCTGATCCAGATCTTGACCTCACAACATGCTGGAAGTCTTTCAGCATTGCCCATTGCAGCACCTGCCTCAATCAGGAAGTGGGTGCAATCACACCTGAAACAGTGAATGCCTGTTGATGGAACTTGGGGAAAGAATGTGTGCATGATTTCAAGGGATTTCCAAACATTGTCAGTGAGGTGAAGGACATTGTGCAGAGGACCACTCAAGTGGGTAGTGATGGCTTTGTTGACCTCATCCAGGAAGAAGTAGAAGATGTAATTGAGGACCAACAGGTGTTGACGGTTGAAGAGCTAGAAGAACTGGTCAGATCAAGCTCAGAATGAGGATGAGGATGGTAAGCATGAGCCAGCAAGCTGGAACCTGCAGGAATTTTCTCAATTCTTCCAAGTAATAAAGCATGCAAATTTTTTGTTTGCAAAGTTTTGCCCCTCCATGGAATGTAGCCTCAAGATCAATCATGGAATTACAGACACTTTGAGACCATACAACAACATGCTTGATGAGCTCAAGAGACAACAGCAATTCCTCACAAATAAACCACCACCAGCAGCAGATGTGCATGGGAAACCCACCTCTGGATCTGAACCACACCCCAATACTTCTTCTGGCTACCAGGCAGCCCCCCGGCCCTCATATCATATGCAGCAGCATCCAGCAAGGGAGAGGAAAAGGAAGACTGAGAGCCACATTTGCCTCTCACTGGTAAGTGCAGCATTCATTCATTCATTCATTTATTATGATTTTTCTAGGTCTTAATGGTTTTCTAGGGGGTATTCTGGCTTTACACAATTTTGCTTATACATGCGATAGCCATGGATGTAACCTCTACGTAGGATGCGAGTTACCTGTATTCAGGATATGAGAGCGGAACTACGAGTTACGAGGCAAACGTGGCTTTCCAAACCCTTTACTTAATAGTATGGTGATATTGCTGTGTTTGTATAGTTTTAGACTGGGATGTTTATATTGTAGTATTTTAATTGTATGTGTAACCGCCCTGGGAAGTCTTAGTGTGCCACTGAAGGTATGGGATTTTTAAAAAACCACACTCAATAATATTAATTAATATGAGGGCAGGCATATGCATAGTCTAATTGGCAGGCAGAAGGAAATGCTTAGCCCTTTCCATGCCTTCTCCCACTCAGCTATTTTTCAGCTGTTTCTCTTTACTGAAGTTTAGAAATTAGCCTCATGGGGAAGAAAAATGTGTGTGCGTGTGTTTGGGGAAACCCAGTCAGATGGGCGGGGTAGAAATTATAATAAAATTATCATTACTACTAGTAATAGTAGTAGTAGTAGTGTGTGCAGAGTTCTGTGGACAGTAATTGGGAAAAGTTAAGCACTACCCATCAAATTCTCTCCAGCAGATTCTCCGCCCATCCACTCCCAAATACAAATTTGGGAACCAGGTTATTGTGTTGTTTTTTGACACTGGATGTCAGTCCATATAAGTCGGAGGAAAAGAGGTGACATTCATCTCCCACTTCTGCAAAGGAGGGTATCCTATCACCATGCATATACTGCTTTCCAGGAGAACAATTACAGCTAAACAACTTTATTATCTCAAGATGCCAAGGTCTATTTGAGCAAGAATGACCTTTTAAAAATTAGCATTTCTACAGCACCTTTCACAGTATACAGTGTAGTCTACATTGATCCTCATAGCAATGCCTTGTCCAAGGTTGACTGGTGACCTTCATGGTTGAGAAATGACTTGAACCCTGGGCTCCCAAGTCCAGATTCAACAACAACAGTGATCTTTGGTCACTTTTGGTAGCTTCTAATTTTACACAGAATATTAACTTAAGAAATAAAAAAATTGTGAGGGGAGAAACAAAAACAATGTGAATTACGGCATGATAACATATCTATGAATATGAATTAGCTGAGATTCCTGCATTGCAGGGGGTTGGACTAGATGACCCTTGGGTCCCTTCCAGCTCTAAGATTCTATGATTCTAATTATAGCTATCTTGTGATCTGCAGCTATCTTGTGATTTAACCAGTGACATGAACTGAACAGAAGAACTGCGCTTTTCTTAGCTGTGAAGAAAGATTAGCAAATAAAATATCTGAAACCGTCTCTGTGTGTGCGCGCGCACGTGTGCATAAGAGAGAGAGAGAGAGAGAGAGAGAGAGAGAGAGAGAGAGAAGGCTGGTCCCTCTATGTCACGGTTGAACTGCACTGGAGGTGGAATGTGGGATGCTGGCAGTCTGCTCACTCAACTGTATTTGACTAGCGCCGTCAACCCCTCAGCTTTCACAAGCATTGAAAGTGTCAAAAATCTCTCAGAGAAAGTATAAATTTTACCAGCCTATTTCTGGTTCATATTTAATGCTGTTTTTAAAAGCTTTAAAGCATAACGGTATTCAAAGCGTTCTTCACCGTGGCTCTTGTGAGCCAGTATAAATCAAGTAGGCAGTTTATTGTTTGTGTGTGTGTGTGTGTGTGTGTGTGTGTGTGTCAAAAAGGGGAGAGAGGGACTGTGTAATCAAGTAACTAAGATGTATGGCAGATCTGGCTCCTGTATTTAATATTAATAGCTAAGCATGTTTACTTCAGTAAACTGTAATCTTAAACATGTTCAGATCTGAATATTGCATCGCTTGTCATTTGATAACTCCCCGCATCTTATAAACAAACAAAAGTTTCAGGCATACTTTGTCTTCTAACAATTTAATTTGGGAATATAAAGGTTTTTGCCGAATATAGAAAATAAATTTATCTTTTGGCAGTAACCTATTAACAAGTTAATGGATCCATAATTATGCATGTTTAAAACATGGTGAAAGTTGGTTTACCATGTCATCTGTCGTAAGGACAGTGCCATATGGGATATAAAAATCAGCTTGATGGATTTATTTCGCTATTTGTTTGCTTTTTACATTATTTTGCCCTTTTGCCAAAGTGCTCAGTGTGAAATATGTAATCCTATGCACATAAGTTGCATTGAACTCATTGAGGCTTACTTCTGAGCAGTGTCCTATAGTCTTGAAACTGACAAGCACGACACAATTGTGCTATTCAGCTTCTGTCCATCCCGTCATTTACTATTAAGGGTAGAAGACTGCATAATAGATATGGAGGTCCCATTAACTTTCATGGCTGTTAACTATTGTAATACCTACCCTGCATGAAATATTATTCTCATCCCCCTATTAGGTCCCCTGACCTAGTGGTGATAATTATATCATGTGACCCTGAATTTCATATGGTACAGAACGATCCTATGACCAATAACTAACTTAGTTGGTCTCTAAGGTGCTACTGGGGACGCGGGTGGCGCTGTGGGTTAAACCACAGAGCCTAGGACTTGCCAATCAGAAGGTCGGCGGTTTGAATCCCCACGACAGGGTGAGCTCCCGTTGCTCGGTCCCTGTTCCTGCCAACCTAGCAGTTCAAAAGCATGTCAAAGTGCAAGTAGATAAATAGGTACCGCTCCGGCGGGAAGGTAAACAGCGTTTCTGTGCGCTGCTCTGGTTCTCCAGAAGCGGCTTAGTCATGCTGGCCACATGACCTGGAAGCTGTACGCTGGCTCCCTCGGCCAATAAAGGGAGATGAGTGCCGCAACCCCAGAGTCGGTCACGACTGGACCTAATAGTCAGGGGTCCCTTTACCTTTACTGGTAAAGGAAGGATTTTTAAAATTTAATTTAATTTATTTAATTTTGTTAAGAAAATCTATGTCAGAGCTCCCACCACTTCCTGTTCTGTGATAGCTTGCTGTGGCAAGGGCAGAAGGGGGAGGTGACTTTCTCCATTTTTGTGATGAGCTTTTAAATATTCACATGTGTACGTTTGCATGTACACACCAATCTTTGGTAGCTCTACGGGTGTGTGTTAGGGGATTTGGGTCCACCTTAACTCACCTTGAGAAACTTCCCATGTCTTTTTTTTTGCCCCCTTTCCCATCAGTACATCCACGTAGAGCTGTCCCACTAACCAAGCTTCTCCACAACAGCAGAGCAGCATTTCTACCTCCTTGGACCCCTCAGCCTGACTCCCAGTAAAGATAGGGTTGCTCAATGAAGCTTTGTAATGCATAAGTATACTCAGTTGCCTATTTCACTGGGTGATGTGGTGTGGTCAGATTTTAAGATACATTTTAATCTTAACACTGTTTATAATTTCATGAACCACTACAATGTCATTCATTAATTTACCAAATTAAGCTCCTTTGCTCCCTAACTCCTAAACCACTTAGTTGCTTATTTCTGCATCATCTGATCTGTTTTGAGGTGGGGCGATGAAAGCTCTAAAGTGTATTCTGAATGTGGATACTCTCTAGATTTACAAGCTGACATTATAATGATTTCTGTTTCATTTTCTATTCCTTTACTTAGTAAGTCCTAATGTTGAAGTTGACTTTGTCATTCCTACATCCCATTATTATTTTGTTAATTATATTTATTTACACAATGACTCCCAGAACTTCTTTCCTGGGAAATCTCTTTAACAGTCAGTCAATACTCCACTAATAAATATATGAAGAAGGAAGGCGGGGCTGGTCTCAGTGTGCATTACTTTGCATTTTCTCACATTTTCCCCTTCAGCTGCATTCAGTTGTCTATTCACCAGTTTGAAGAGATCATTGTGGAGTTCTTCTTAGTCTGCTAGGGATTGCATCATTCTGAATAATTTGACTGGGCTATCTCAATTCAGAAACAGTGCCAGAGCCATTAAAGAGGCTTGGGGGACACGGCTTGCTTCCCTCTCTCTATTGTGAAAACTGCCTTTTTTCATTCCTACGCTCAACATTCTGGTTTTTAATCAGTTACTGATCCATAAGAGAACCAGTTATCTTATTCCATGGCTGTTAGATTTTAATGGGAGCTTCTTGGTGAGGGGCTCTGGCAGAAGCATTTACAAAGTTGAATTGCTGCTTGGGATGGTGTTTTGCCACCAGACTACTTCCATACAAGTGTTTTGAAACAAGCTGTAGTTTAATGTTAAGTTTTGAATCTTTTACTTTTAGGAACTCCTAAAAGTAAAATTCATAATAATAATAATAATAATAGTAAAAAAATGTGTGTAGATGTGTTCATGTGTATATGCAATAATTATTAATGAGACCTGCAAAACTGCACATATTGAGGAACAGATTCTGTAGTAATAGCTGGCAGAAATGTTAAGTGCTTTTCACAGTCAACATTCAAACAGATTATCAGATGGCATATTTCACCCTGTTGTTACTTTAAATGAAGTGACCATGAAATCAACAAATCTGCTGTCAGGTGCCTGTCAGTAAGATAGTTCTTCCTGTCACACAATGCCTCACATAACAGGTAATGTGTTTTTAAGAATCAGTCCTTTGTCACCTCATCAAGTTCTTGTTAAAAGATGAAATAAGACGGATGGTGTTGTCTCCCACAGAGCTGACGGAAATTCAGGAGAAAGCAATACATTCTACAGGAATAAATACCAAAAGGAAGGAACTCAGGTGCCTGTGGGGGGAAATTGCCTCTTACTGTGCTATATTGCCTTTATCCTGTGTCTTGAAAATAACTGCTCACTTTTCTTGCTCATTTTAATTCAAGCATTAAATTAATTGGGTCAAGTTTAAGTTCTCTGATAAAGACAGGAGGAATTAAGCCTAAATCATCAAACAAATGAGAACAAAGAGTGCATTATTGCACTAGTACCTGAACTTTCGCTCAGGGCCCTTGAGACATGCTTCAGTACCTAATGGAGATGACACCCATAATTAGCAGATTTTACTTGCAACTGTTTTGTTCTGAATTTGTACAGTTAGCCCTTTATCTTGAGACCATGAATGACACTGGCATATTACTTCGTAGACTGGGTAACAGTACTACCCATTGCATTTTTTTAGTGCCGTCCAAAAGAATGTCCCAAGTGGTAAGATGTCTCTTTCAGTCTGGTTCCGGAAGGAAGATATAAGGTGGAACTCTCAATTGCCTGCTGTAACAAATGTGCAAGATGGTCAATTCCAGAAGATGATGCTTAGGAATCATTGCCCCATCTCTTGGCAATACCTTGCTATTGAACATCTACATACATTAGACCCAGTGGCGTGGTGTGGGGGGCTGTGGGTGCCATCTCCCCAGGCACATTTTATGGAGGAGGCGTGACCAGGCACCCCCAAAACAGGCTCCCATTGAAGCCTGGCTCTGTTGTGCAAGGGGGCTGCCATGGCAGCTTCCTCACACCCAGCTGAAGCTCCACTGCAGCTCTGCTCCCGGGTCACATCTGACCTGGGGGCAGAGTGCAGAGTTGGTGGCAGAGAGCTGCCACCCCTCTCCTTGACTGGAGAGGAGGATATTTAAAGGATATTGCACTCTCACTGGAAATTTGAGTTCATAGTTTGGGGATGTTCTTGGACCCAGCACCGTCACTGGAGACACATGTAGCATCTGTGACTCAGGGGCCTTATCTTAACTTTGGTTTGTATACCAGCTGCAGTTCTATTTAGACAGAGAGACAGCCTACAATTATTACACTTTAGACAGAGACAGCCTACAATTATTACACTTGTGGATAGCTCAGTTGGTTAGAGCATGATGCTGATAATGCCAAGGTCGCAGGTTCAATTCCCTTCAGGGAATTCCCTTGAGTTCCCAACCCATTGCAGCAGGTTGGACTTCATGATCCTCATAGTCCCTTCCAACTCTACAATTCTGTCATCACGGTGATTACAGCATTTCCACATCCCCAAAGCCACCTGAATTCTACCTCTCATTTCCCCTTCCCTAGGGGCCATTCCCTTACAATATCCATTCCCTTCGGTTGCTTTCAGTTGCTCCTATATTTTTACCTTAAGCTTCATTACATTCTCCCCCATGACTTCACTGCCTTCTGTGTGTCCATAATCTCCTCTCCCATGTGCTTCAAATGGTTCCCCCAGTTTCTTCCAGCATGGCACAATTGGTTCCCGGTACTGAGAAACCTCCTATCAAACTGCACACATATGCAGTACAAGATGAAATGCTATCAAATGCAGGTAAGACCATAGCCCAGAAGTGTAGTGCTGAATCCTGATTAAATATTCCCACTCTAAAGTTGTAATTAAAACATCATTTATATTGAGAATAATTAAGACAACTGTACATTTGATTTTAAAATCAGTTTTGAGTATTGTGCCTTGTCAAACTACAAGGATGGCTCCTGCAGCTTCACAATTTAACATTAAGAGGCAGACAGTGACCGTGGGCACCTGAGTGGGGAGGTTTGACAGTTTGATAAATTAGGAATGACACTTGCCAAAATGGCCGTCCTTCCCTCAGTCTGCCAGTGGAGCATTTACACACTGTTAATTGAATTGGCAATTTGTGTAACAGTACCTGCCCCTGAGCTTTGGTAATTCTAGAGCTGCCATTTAGCTCTGATAATCCAGGACTGGGGAATAAGGACGAAAAGCTTCACATGATATTATTGCAGATTTAAAATGACAGTTGGGGACCTTGTTGCCAATTTCCCATTAAATGAGAAATAATTAACAATAGCAATAACAAAGTCTTACAAAGCTGGAAAGTTAAATTGACTTTTCAGCAGTAGTGTGGTTTAAAATTGCTTCTAGTGTGATTATCCGATTGCCCTTTCGGTATTATATACCCTAAATAGTATCATATGATGGACAAAGTGAAGGGTGTTTTTGAAAGCTAGCCTGTTTTATTACTGTGAGGCTCTTCTGATTTATCTGTTGTTTTGTCTTCTTGCTATGTACAAATTGGGTTATACTATAATGTTTCATAGAGATAAAGAATTTAATGAAATATCAGAGATCCTAGTTTCTACAGATGTCAGTAACTGAATGACAGCAGAAACAAAACACTGAACCTCCGATAACCACTGTTGAATACGATTGTTCTAAAGATGTCCCTGTGTAGATTCTACCCCTGTTTTCCCTTACCCCAAAGTTACAGAGAAGAGGGCAAAGAGACCCTTGGGTACTGAAGGCCTGATGTCATCAGGAGAAAAGAGGAAGGAGCTCCTTAAGCATTCCTGCACCCCCAGTTTTAGATTTTGGTAGATGAGTCAACGTATGGGAATAATATCCTCCAAAAAAGCAGCAGAGCACCAAGAAAGACCTTTGGTGATTATCTTAGACGGCATATGTGACTGAAGAGAACTCCTTGGCAGTTTCAGGTGGTGTTTACTTTGGAATTTACTGTAGTCTGGATGTTAGCAGGGCGTGGTTAACTACCTCTTGCAGGGGCTGGCAGGAGCCCAAGGAGTGGGGGGTTTTGCACACAGAGGGGAGAGAGAGAAGGAGGGTCTGGCAAAAGGGGCCCGTGATTTGTGGGTTTCTGTGCCACCCATGAGCTGGTTCCTGGCAGAGGTGGAAGAAGGGGGACCAGAGCAGGTGACTGGTCAGCAAGAGCATGGAGGAAGGAAGCAGGACTTGCTGGAAGAGCCACAAGGGATCTTGGAATCTGTAGAATCTGTGGATGAGGCCATGCCTTCAGAATCCCCTGAACACCCACTCCCCACTGTCACCTTGCTTGAGGAGAAGTTGGAAGAGACGAGAAGTTAGAGCAGGCTCTGAGGAGGAGCTGACAGGTGCTTGAGCGCAACACGTGAGCTAAGGAGGGACAAGGGGTGGGGGCATGAATACTCTGTTTCTCCAACGTTCTGAGACTGGCACAAATTTGCAGTCATAGGAGCCAACTCCTAGGGGCTAATGTCACTTTAGCCCCCCCTCCCAATAAAATATTTGAGGAGGTAGTGGGTATTGCCATTCAAATGGTGTGCGCGTGCTGCGTCTTGTGATCAATTATGCGGGGTGGGGCTTACCTGCCCTTCCACCCCATTTTATTCAAGTTGGCACTCCTGTCTGAAGTTGTCATTTGCTTAGACAGCTAATTAGCGAGGAGCTTTATCGTATATCACTTGCACATTAGGAGCTGATGTAACCGACTGATTCACCAATAAAGAACTATAAAATCCAGCCGCTTGTCTTTGATGGTGCAGGTTGGGACACCCTCAGGGTGGGAAACCAGCTCACCCGTCACATGTGGTTGAAGGCGATATCACAGAAGCCACTGCACTTAAGCCCTTAAAATTGAGAGAGAGTGAAATCCTATCCGGAATAGATTGCAATCCACCTCTCATGTCAGACGAACCATCTACCATCTTGTCTAGATTGAACTTGGAGTGTGTCTGGATTGAACTTGGAGTGGCCCTTATCCACTCCACTTAAGGATGCTAGGTACTGATTCAGTGTTATCCTTTGGAGTCCATAACATAAAAGGCCCAGTGGTTTTGCCTCATCTCCTGAACTGACCATCTGTGTAGGGCTAGAACCACTGCAGATAGTCTATTTAGAAGGGTGCCGTGGCTGATGGTATGAAATGCTGTTGAGAAGTCCAAGAGAATTAACAGGGTTTGTTATCTATGTCCTTCTTTTGACGAACTAAGTCATCCAAAGCTGTTTCCATGCCAAAACTGATACCGAAACCAGACTATATCTGTTGGCTAGAAAAATTAGATAACTATAAACACTTGGAATCTGTGTCTTAATGTCAGCTTATTTAGCTTCAAAAATGAAGAATGTATGATGACTTTGAAGGAGTATTTTAATTATCTCATAATTAAAATAATGGGATCATGCTGACATGATTTCTCACATAATCGCCCTGAATCTTAAAGGTCATGATGCTATCCACTTATAAAACATCGTCAAGCAAAATCCAGCTATTTGGTGTGACTAGCAATGGCATCAATAATGGGCTACACGAGGGGCAATAAGCAGAACCTCAGCCCATGCAAACTATGTGCAGATGTGAGCACTGATCATTTGTCTAGAACTTTAAACATAAGAGAAGAAGACAAGATGAATTTATACATGATCTTAAACATAGCACGACACTTTCCACTAGCTGAGCACAGCTATCCTGCCCTGGTAACATCCAGATGTGATGATTGTAACTTGTTACTGCATTGGACTGCCTTTAAAGACATCTCAGAAACTTCCAATTTGTGCAAAAAAAATACAGGTGCTAGACTGCCTATGGGACCTACCCTATAGAACACATCTCACCAATCTTGAAACAACTTCACTGGTTATTGACCAATTTCCAAGCAAAACAGCTGCTGCTTAGCTTTACATCCCTATGATGACAAGGAACCATAGCATTTCCACCTAAATGCACCTATCCGTGCATAAATGCACCTATCAGTGAATTAAGATAATTGTTCAAGACCCTTCTGTGGACCCCCCATAGCTTCTGAAGATAATAATGATAATAATAATAATAATAATAATAATAATAATACCTTTATTGTCAAGATGGGTTGTTACAGGTGACAGGGTTTTTCAGCTGCAGTGCCCCATTTCTATAGTGCTTTCCCCAAATAGGTTTGACTGGCACCAAGCGAATACTTTTTGAGGTTGTTTCCTTTTTTCACGTTTGCTGATCTATTTTTTTAATTTTAAAAAAGTTAACTGAACTTGGTTTTGATCTGTCAGTATGTTTTTGATCTGCAGTGCTTTATAACTTCCTTCAGTTTAACTGATTGTTGTGTTTGAATGTTTTATTTGTAGCTGACCTGGGAATGTTGTTGTTTAGTCGTTTAGTCGTGTCTGACTCTTCATGACCCCATGGACCAGAGCACGCCAGGCACTCCTGTCTTCCACTGCCTCCCACAGTTTGGTCAGACTCATGTTCCTAGCTTTGAGAACACTGTCCAACCATCTCGGCCACCGTCGTCCCCTTCTCCTAGTGCCCTCCATCTTTCCCAACATCAGGGTCTTTCCCAGAGAGTCTTCTCTTCTCATGAGGTGGCCAAAGTATCAGAGCCTCAGCTTCAGGATCTGTCCTTCCAGTGAGCACTCGGGGCTGATTTCCTTCAGAATGGATAGGTTTGATCTTCTTGCAGTCCATGGCTCTCTCAAGAGTCTCCTCCAGCAACATAATTCAAAGCATCAATTCTTTGGCGATCAGCCTTCTTTATGGTCCAGCTCTCACTTCCATACATCACTACTGGGAAAACCATAGCTTTTACTATACGGACCTTTGTTGGCAAGGTGATGTCTCTACTTTAAGATGCTGTCTAGGTTTGTCATTGCTTTTCTCCCAAGAAGCAGGCGTCTTTTAATTACGTGGCTGCTGTCACCATCTGCAGTGATCATGGAGCCCAAGAAAGTAAAATCTCTCACTGCCTCCATTTCTTCCCCTTCTGTTTCCCAGGAGGTGATGGGACCAGTGGCCATGATCTTCGTTTTTTTGATGTTGAGCTTCAGACCATATTTTGCGCTCTCGTCTTTCACCCTCAAATTGTGTTTTTTTAGGGCGGAGGAGGAGGGGGAGAGGTACAATGGTATAAGAGCTGTTGAAACGAAAATTTAGGTGAAAGTAGGTTGTGCAAATGGATGACATTCTATTTCAGGTATATTTGCTTTGTGCTGCTTTTCAACTCTAGAATATATGCATCTAGATAGAGATCTAGATAGATAAATATATTTTGTATATTTCTCAAATTTCCTCCAAGAAGCTCAAGGTAGCATACTTGGCTTGCTTCCCATTTAATCCTCAAAACAACCCTGTAAGTCTGGATAGGCAGAGAGAAGGTGACTGGCTCAAGGCCATTTGATAAGGTGCATGGCTGTGTGAGGATCTGAACCCAGTCCCATCTCCCCAGTCCTAGTCTGACACCGTAACCACTAAAATCAATTGTTGAAAATAGCACTGTGAGAGAAAAAAATGTGAGGGACTGAAGGTGCCTTTGTACATAAATCCAATAAAAGTGGGTTTTCTGTTAAGAAAAAACTAAGTAGATGTTTTTCCTGTCCTGTGCATCTGAATATTCATCACATGGAGGCATATTTCTGTAGGGATTTACCTGGTTGGAATGAGTCATTATTTAATTGTGGCATATGTGTGGCTCTCTGAATCTAGAGAGTTTTGAAAAGTTGCTGGTTTTTTTCTGATTGTACAACAGGATTTCCTTTTCTATGTTAAGTTTTAAAACATTCTAAAGGGGTGCAGGTACCTCAAGCCTATTTTGTACAAAAAATGGAGCCTCTATTGTGGTTCTTTTAATTTTTTATAAATTGAATTAATCCAGCCAAAAGCTGCATCAACTGTGTCACATCCCTTTAACCAAAGGCATGTAAACCTCAGAGTAGACAGCTGTTTGGCTGTACCAAGGTGGGCCCCCTGCCCTCAGCAAATATACTTGATTCCCCTACATGGCCACTTGGCTGGCTACTCTTACAGCCATATGGTTGGATGGATTCACGACTGCTCCCTAGTTGGCTGTATAATTCCACAAGGATACAGTAGTAGTTACTGGTAGCCATATTGGGAAAAATTTGCAGTGGTGGTAGTTTTGTGTGTTTGTGTGTTTTTTTGTTTTTTGTTTGCCAAGACCAACTTGGGTGAAGGCTGGCATTAAGTTACGAAGTATATGACTGTAGAAATAATAAACAAACAAATCCCATATATGGGGGGGATTATTATTTTTTTAAAGCATTTTTATGGCAATATAGTATGCTATTCCTGAATAGCGCAAATGAGGTAAAATTAACCGAAGCTTTCTTTTCTTTTCTTTCAATTTATTTTTGATTGCTTTTCTTCTTAAAGATTAAACAACAACAAGGGGGGATGATTTATTTTATTACTGTTTAATCTCTCTGCTGAAGTATACTAGATCCTCTGACTGGCTATTTGAAATAAGGACAGAGAGATGGAGGGATCCCTTTAGACCAGTGGTTTTTTTCTGGGCCACGCTTTTAGAATAAAAATTTGCTTGCACCACAATTTTTTTATTGAAAAGAAATACATTGGAAAACTCCTAGCAGTGTTTGATCTATGACATAGAACACAACCACTTTGTGTTTGGGGTGTGTTTTTTTCTTCAGCTTTTCCACTGAAAATTTTCAAATAAAATATGAATATTGAAAACATTTAAAATGTCATGAAAAATAAAAAAGAAATAAGAAGAAATAATACGATCACCCAGAAAGTGTAAAACAATGAAGCTACCTAAGAACATGAATCATTCCCAAAATAAAATATTGATTGTCCTTTAATCTTCCTGTCACACTTGCCATCCTCTCCTGCCACACCAGTGAGTGTGACCTGCACCCTTTGAGAACCATCACTTTAGACTAATGAAGAAAAGCAGCATCATGCTGTAGGACATGCTAAGCCCTCTCTGTTGTGGAGAACGCCAGTTTCCAAAAAGTGATGGCCATGAGGAATAAAACTTTTTAAGATGGCAGATTTCCAGAATGTTTTGAGACTACAGTTCCCATTATCCCTGACCACTGGTCCTGTTAGCTAGGGATGATGGGAGTTGTAGTCCCCAAACATCTGGAGGGCCAAGTTTGCCCAGACCTGATCTACATAGTGTAGGCTTCCACTGCTGAGTGACAGACCCTAAAATCCCCTGACATTCAAACTAGATAGGTAGAAAATGGATTGTTTTTGGTTTTTTTAGCAATATGAAGTTTGTACAGTAAACTGGCAGCCAATTTCCACTACCACTGTGGTGGCTTGTAGAAGGGAGGGGATGGTGATGACAAAGTCTTAGACTGACGATCTCAATCAATGGCTGCTGCAGCAGAGAACTTGGTTGAGGGTTGACAACGCCTGAGGCTTCACCTCAGTGAACTGCTAATGTTAGAGGTATTGGTTGGTTGCTCGAGAGCAATCAGGCAATATGCCTCAGAAGTGTGTTCTAAATAATAATAATAATAATAATAATAATAATAATAATATCTTTATTGTCATTGCCCCCTTCGGGGACAACGAAATTACTTGACTGCTCCATAAAAACACTAATTAAACAATACAGTATAATACAGCAAGGGAGATTAGATGACTTTCAAAGTCCGGGCTTCCCATTCAGGGCCGAGATCGCTCTGGAGAAGAAGCTGTTCTTAAGACGGCTCGTTCTTGTCTTCATCGTCCTGTATCTCCGTCCCGACGGCAAGAGCTCGAAGAGACAGTGACCAGGATGCGATGGATCTTTTACTATGTCCAGTGCCTTCCTATGGCACCTTGTGGCATAAATCTGCTCTAAGGTGGAGAGTGGGCAGCCAACAATGCTCTCTGCTGCCTTAACAACCCTGCACAACCCCATCCTGTCCTGGGTAGTACAGCTTCCGTACCACACACATAAGCCATAAGTAAGCACGCTCTCAATGGCACAGTGATAGAAGAAAGCTTTCTTATTAGTGATAAAAACCTTTAGAATGCAGAGCGCCTGTATTCCGTGTGGGCGGTCCTTAAACCTTCCCCAGCAGAGTAGTTTCTTGACGCCCAGTCTGCGCCTCCCCTCTCTGTGTGGGAGCCTACTGCACGAGGAAGGCTTGGGTAACGGGGGACCTCCCTCCTCCCCGCTTTGCTCCGGCAAGGTGTCCTGGCACTGCCTTGCCTCCTCCGCCCCCTGGATCTTCTCTCCACTAGAGGCGTGGCTGTCTTCCTCTGCTGAGGAAGTGCTGCTTCCCACGATCTTTGGGGGCTCTCTGTAATCCATCCGGCTTTTCCCCTCTCGCCCCTGAACCGATGGCAGTTCCCTGACAGCTAATGTAGCTCTGAAGTGTATGGCCCTTCTTCCTCTCATTTGCCCACTTAGAGAACACCAGTTGCCAGTGATAAAGCAATCAGAAGTGTGGTGCAGAGAAATATAAGGAAATACTGTACGCACAATTCTTTGGCATTTTCTCGTTTGCAAGCTCCTTTGAAAAGCCCTGCACTGACTGCCTATAAGACTCCATAGGCTATCAAGCCCTCTTGAAGGTACTTGTGCTCACTTACAAAGCCCAGTACAGCTGGAGGCCAGGATATTGGAAAGAATGCTTTCTGTGTAGACCTGCCTATTTTAAAGATCTGTGGCGGAGGCTTCATTGGCTGGACTATCTTAAGCTATATGGCAATGTCTTCTTGATGGTGCACCCCAGTTTTTAAACTTTCTTCCCCTACAGCTGGGAGCTACTCTTTTAAATTTTAGATGCCAGGATAAGACCTGGGCTTTTAGTGGACTCTTATGCCAATATTTATGGTTTCAGTTGCCCGATTGTGACTAGTTCGCCTTGATTTTAGTCATATTGTGAACTTGAAACTGCCTTATGTAATTAAGTTTGGGTAAGAAACACTTTAAATAACTAAATTATTGGGGGAGGGAAGAGGTTGCCTGCCACCATTAACACATTTTATTAACGTATTTATATCTCACCTTCCATTGCATACAACAATATTTGATGGGTTACAGTGAAATTTATGAAAGAACACTATAGTCCTATATCTAAAAAAAGAATAGGATGTCGGTTAAGGACAGTTTTTATTTGACAGTATTGTGACCAGAAGGAAGGGGCAAATGGGTCTCCTCGCGAATACGACTACAATTTATCTTATTTGAAACTTATATTTGTTTTCCTAGTGTTAGTGCTTCCCCCGCCCTCCTTTCAACAAGATTTTTTCTTTGCCAGTGTGGTCTTCTTGGCCTTTGTAGGTTTCCTTGCCCCTGCATATCAACCACATTGGCATATCAACCACATTGTTCAAGGCTTTCCTGTCCTTTAGCTTGCATTCTAGCTGTTACTAGAATGTTCTGTTCTGTTCTGCCGTGGTGGTTTTAAGCAAGTTCTAAGCATCCTGAAGACATTGGACTTTCTTAACATCATTAGCCTTTATAGAAATTAAATGACACCCTGCAGCACTTTAGTATTGAAGTTTCATTTTATGACATACTTTGGCATGCTTCAGTGATGAAAGGGGCTTACGTATTTTTTAATGGAACTCCAAGCCTTTCCTCGACAACAAAATAAATGTGATGTTTTAGTTCAGGGGTCTGCAACCTTTAAGACAAAAAGAGCCACTTGGACCCGTTTCCGAAGAAAAAAAAACTGGGAGCCGCAAAACTCGTCATTATAAAAATAACTTTTTTGTCACTTTTTTATTATTATTTCTTTGTTTGACCCCTCAGAATTACTCCTCCTCATAGAAATAAACGTTAAATTAACAAGTTACCTTTTTGTGTGTGTGTGTTCTTCACTCCCCTTCAAAACAATGACCAGCGTACATGCCCCCTTTCAATGCAGTGACCAGCGTACATGCCCCTTACAATGTAGCGGGCGGGCGGGAAGGTGACGTCGGGACGGTGCGTGACTAACGCACGCACCGCCCCATGCGACGTCACAGCCAGTACAGCGCCCGCCACAGTGGGGAGTGTCGGGGCGCACAATGCGCCTCCTCCCCTCGCTAGTATCTGCCCCGGAGCCGCGGCAAAGGTGTAAAAGAGCCACATGCGGCTCCGGAGCCGCGGGTTGCAGACCCCTGTTTTAGTTATTACTATAATAGTATCCTAATAGTGCAACATCTAGGCCCCACAGAATGGATATGGAGTGGATAGTCTTGCCACATGGGGGAAACCCTCTCTCTTCAAACTAGGAAAATAGGAACAAATTCTAATTTTCAAAAGTATTATCCCTCATAATATCTCAGTAACAATGATCATTCCAAATGCCAAAATACTTTTCTCTCACCATCAGCCGTTTATTATAGCCAACAGACCAGAAATAAGCTGTACAAAACATTTTACACAGAATACAAAAAGTGTAACAACAACAACTTTTTTATTTATACCCCACCCAACTGGTTGGGTTGCCCCAGCCACTCTGGGTGGCTTCCCACACATAAAAAATGACAGGATTCTAGCTCCTGTTTCTTTACCCATTAAGACTGATAAAAAGCACTATAGGACCCCTTTCAGATGAAAGTATTTCCTTTGTAATACTTTCATCTGGAAAGGGCCCAAAATCATTTTTTCTGGCATTCTTAATGAGCAATGAATGTTGACTAAATATTTCCCCTGAATTCCAGATTTGTAGTCCTCCATAACTGTTCGTTGTGTTATAGCTCCTGAAAACTATATAACTATAACCATGATTATAGTATCAAGACTAGTGGGGTAACAAAATGCCTTATCATTAAGTTATCCTTGTCTGTCCAGAACGTATTTTTATTTTTATATTTTAATTAAGTTTTATGTCAACATCTACACATCAATTTTGCACTGACATTCTGAGAATCACAGCATTACTGGTAGTGATTTATTAGTTCGTTGGATCTTCTTCATAATGTGAAGCTTTGTTTTCCAAGAATTGGTTTCTTACACCTGTAGAAGCATAGTGTTTAAGAAAACATTTTAATGTTTTTCTGCTCCTCATGATATTGTTCTATGGTTCCACTTTATATATATGCTTCCTTGCGTGAACTCAAGCTGTTTTTAAAAAGCACATTTTCAATATTTGCCCGAGAATATTTTTCGCGAGTTCAAAAATATTTAAAACAAGGAATGTAGAAATTACCATTATTTACAGCTAGGAATCAGGGGGCTGGGGGCTGCATTCATCTAATGAGTCCTGCTGACGTCAGCTAGTGCAAGAGACTCTGACTCTGGTGTTTGTGCACATGGAGAACCACCAGAGCAGCATGTGGCAGGACGAGAGAGGCTGTTATTAGAATTACAACAGCAGCAGCAACAACAACAAATTATTATTATTATTATTATTATTATTATTACCCCACCCATCTGGCTGGGTTTCCCCAGCCACTCTGGCGGCTCACAGCAGAATATTAAAAACGTGATAAAACATCAAACATAAAAAACTTCCCTAAACGGTCTGCCTTCAGGTGTCTTCTAAAAGTCAGATAGTTGTTTATTTCCTTGGCATCTGATGGGAGGGCGTTCCACAGGGCAGGCGCCACTACTGAGGAGGCCCTCTGCCTGGTTCCCTGTAACCTTACTTCTCACAGTGAGGGAACCTCCAGAAGGCCCTTGGAGCTGTGTCCGGGCTGAATGATGGGGGTGGAGATGCTCCTTCAGATGTTGTTGGACTACGACTTCCATCTGCCCAGCAAATGGGGGCAAATGGTTGTGAAGATGAGAAATGTAGGCATCACGTTGGCTAC